TACTATACTAATATATATATATATATATATATATATATATATATATATATATATATATATATATATATATATATATGGAATGTATTGATACAAATAATTCTTATATCGCCAGTTCTTTGCTTTGTACAGTCATAATTTATATTGATAACTTTTTTACACAATAAGTTTACACATCAATTATACATATTGTATATAATTTGAACTATTTGATATATGATAAAACAACAATTCACAATTAGTAATAATTTTAAGATTGAAGTATGCAGAACTATCATGCAATATTTATTATTACAAATATTTTTTATTGTTAATATGCATAAATTTACGATATAAATATTAGACATGTACATATATCATTATATTTATTAAAATGTATGTAAATTTGTTTGACCAAATAGCATTATTTTATGTATGCTGTGAATAAGTATAGATTCTTTGTTGCAAAAATTTGCAAAATATTGCAAATTATAGTTAAATATTAAAGGAATGAAACAAACGATACTACAAGTGTTTTTTTCCTCAATTATTTTAAACTTGATTAAGATTGTTTTTTTATAATTATATTAATTGAATTATTTTGCAATATAATATTAAGTTTTTTTTATAAAAATAGATGATATAAAACATGAATAAAATATTTTTTGAAAAGATATAGGAAGGAAAAAAAGGAATAAAGCATAAACATAATGCTGAGCTATACAACATAATAATTTAATATAAAAATATTTTTCTCAAGTTACCATAACTTAAACTTATTATAACTTAAACTATTTGTTTCGTTGCATTCATATTGAGATAATGTCTCTCTATAATTGTATCTAATAGGGTTTTCAGTTGTTGGCCGGAAGTGATCCTGGTAGAATTAGTAGAATTAGGAATGGCACATTGTTGCAATAGATTCTCAATATTTGGATATTGCTGTTGAATACTGATAGGTATGTCATGAAGAAAGCCACCAGGAAATGAAAATTCACTTTCTGAATTTGACAAAAGCTGCAATTAGAAAAATTTCTATTTAAAATGTATGACAAATATATATTTAACATGATGTGAACAAATATACAATTGATGCATGCTTATATATATTTTATGACATATGTATAAATCAATTACTTGACAAATGGCGTAATAGTTATGATCACTCAGATGATGATTGCAAATATCCTCAGCGGAAAAAGCAAAACAATTGGGACAGTGAATATGCATCGTGTTCTCTTGTAATTCTTCCCATTCTTTTGGTTTGTCTACCAATGATTTATCATGTAAATGTATATTTATTCTACTATATCTCAAATTATAAAGATTTTTATAACAAAAATGTATTACCTTCATGAGAAATATTCTTGTCGACAACAATGATATTTTCTAAATCAATAAATTTTGCTTCACTTTTCATGTGATCAATAGCAATATTATCAACTGAAACATCTGTTAAATAAAAACCAAATTTTTCATCTTTAAATGTAAACATATAAGCGGCGTTTAAAAGACTTGAAACGATTTTTGCTCTTTGAATCCAGGGCTTGTCATAATAACTAGAAAGTGGGAGTCCAACATATTCTTCCATAACAATCCGACCACATGCTCCAAAATATTTTGGTACAGGCCATCCATCTTCAGCAGATAATATCTGAGATAAATAAGATCTAATTCAAATGTGTATCATTATATATCTAACTTTACTCATTTAACTTTATTTATTCATTTTAATATCATATAATAATTAATTTCTTTCTATAAACTATATATACTTTCTATGTTTTTACAATTTACCTGAAGAATCAGTGGTTCCGGATTTATAGAAACCAATGTCCACAGATTAATTAAATATTGTGTGTTATTAATAAAATGTTTGTTGTTAAGGTGAACATTACGAAGGAAATCATCCCAAATGTTGTACCGTTGGACAAAGTCTTAAACGACTAGCATCGTCCTTCGAGAAATTCAAAGTAATAGTTTGTTCAATAGAATCATAAAAATCTGTTGTATAATTGTCCAGTAAAATATTTGAGCAAGGATATTGTCGATGGAACTTATTACACCATGCAATATCAAATGCTTTTAATTCTGTAGAGTATGCCAATTTCTTTAACACTACTTGGGTTTGATTATACGTTCCAAAGAACGCATTTTTGACATCAAATAAGTGAATAAGTACTACAGTGAATTCACGCCATAATTCTGCTTCATAAATATTAAAGCATGCAGAAACTCCATAACACACTGGACACTTATTTATCTCTGTATATTGTGTTATAGAAGGATATAAAAAACTTTTTATATTCATTTGATAAACTATTATCAATAAGTAGATGACAAAAAATAATATCTTCCATTTTCTTTTTAAGATATTGTATATATAATATAGGATCATGAGTCGGTATTTATGTCTCACTTTGGCAAATTTTCTTGCAAAAATTTTTGTTAAAAAAATAACTTATTTCTGTAAGCGTCTAAGAGATAACGCGCTTATTTAGGTTAAGTTGAGCCTAGATGGCAGCTCAATTTTAGGTTAAAGGCCATCACACACAAAATGACATAACTGCATATGCATAGCATAAGGGTGCCGTCACATACAGCCCGTAATCCGTAATCCGCACCGGAAGCCCGCAAAAGTTACTAAGTATTTCGTCCGTAACGTTACGTGTGTTTTTATCTCCTTGTGTCCCATGGAACCGTAAATACAGACGTAACGGTAGTACTATTTTTTATTTAACAGATTATAATTGTTTATTTGTATTTTATTCATAAAAAAACTACAGAATATATTATGATTTTAACAAAAGTTTTAATTAAATCGTCAAATTTAGTTAAATAAATAAAATTAGAAAAAGCATTACTAGTAATAACTAGTAACTTGTAGTAACTTTTACGGAAATTTCATGGAATTACGGCTCCATGGATCACGGACTAAGGAATAGAGGAAACCGAGTCTAAAGCATTGAGTAAAAAGAAACAGGAGGGAGCGTTTGGTCGTAAAAGTGCGGACGGAAGTGACTATATAAAGTGGTCGCTCAAGATGGCCGCTCAAGGGCGCCAATATTGAATGACTTGTTATGTTTAATTAGGAAATAATGTACAATTAAAAGAAAATAACTATAATATGCAACAATAATACCAAATCTTAATGGCGTTTTTCATTGGGATTGCACTCGTGCAGTATTTCCATAAGAGCAATGTTAAAATCTAAAATCTAAATTTATAT